AACATGGAACTCTCCAGACCTATCTAGGACTGCCAATAAAAACACACAGTAATTAAAACTCAGTGTAAAGAATCCAAATAAATTATTTTGCCTTGCTTTATTTGTGCCAGTATGCCTGTAGGAGTATTTTTTTTGTTTGCACCAAATAAACCAACAGCACAAACGCCCGACTCCAACTAACAACATTCATGCTGCGAAAGTCAAGGCTATGTTTTACCTGAAATAAGTGTCATTGCCAACGTCTGACAAAACTAGCACATTTTTTTAAACAAATCTTAAACTTATAAAGCTTGGAAAAAAGAGCAGTGGAGCTACATCATACAGAAAAGACCAGATCAGCTGATTGTTTAAATTATAATCAAGTTACTCTACTGACAGTGAGATTCAGCTCAGTAAGTGAATAACTGATGGATGCTTTGTTTCACATTCATGAATAAGTGCATCATGTTGCAATGTTGTGGAAAAAAGAAGCAAAAAAAAGTATATCTATTCTAAGAATTCTATTCTATATCTAAGATTCAATATGTCCTTCCTAGACCATAATCTGGATCCACTGTGATTGACTTCACATGCAATTAAACCTACAGTAACAATTACTGAGTCTATTCGTCCTCTGTTTGTCTTAATGAGTTACTGAGTTGTACAGTTACGGATACTGTGAAGCTGGTTTTGGCAACACTACTACTCAACAGTGATAAAACAGCAAAAGCTGACAAATACATCTTGCAAATACAAATGTGACACCAAGTCAGCTGAGATTTTGACAGGTAAATACTGTTGTAATGCACACACACTTGCTTGTCAGTTTTGGAAGGTGCACCTCATTAGAACGAGTCCATCTAATGTATGAGTGTTGCAATAAATCCCCTCTTCATGAAAATTGCAATGTTCATTTTCTTTTTTCCAACAGGAGTCAATTCAATTCTAATTTTGTACATTTTGCACTTTTAGACGGCTATTGTTACAGCATTTGTCATAGAAATTTTACAGTGTTTCAAGCATTTTAGCCCTAAAACATTTTGTGTAATTTGAGTGCCTACCAGCAAATTGTAAAGTCATGACATTATAACAGCAGGCAAAAACAGAGAGAATGAGCATTACTCATAAATGTAACTAAGAACCATCTGAGGAAAAGCAACGATGGTGGCGCAGCAGTAATAACTACAGTCCATCGTCTAATTCTGTAACCTTACACTGGTGATATCATGTGTATGCAAAGTCATCTGTGAGACCTAATCAACCTACCAAACTATGATAATGCTCTAGAACAGGGGTTCCTAAAGTGGGGGTTGCGACCCCGCGGGGTGTCCCGAGGCTCCTGATTTTGAGAATCCTCTTGATGTAACCACTGAAGTGATTACAACGGATTTTGGGATCGTACCTTCTCTGCGAATTTTAGATCCCGTGGAGGCCGTGGAGGTCGTATATGAAAGGTTGCAATGGCTCCGTCAGAAATGCGTAAGAGCGGATCAAGCCTGCCTTGCCAGTTGCTGCCTTGTGCAAAATAGATCTGGGATGATACAAATTGATTTCAGGACAAAAGTTTGGACTTTATAACAAATGGTGATGAAAATAAATATGACTTCATGTTTTGTGTTGCACACACAAAGATCCCGACAACTTGGTGGTGACAGCTTGCCTGCAGTGTCACTGTCAGCCCCAGTACTGACTTCCAGCTGATACTGGCCAGCAGCATCTCCAGAGACCGACCCGCTCCTCCAATGGAGACACGTACTAGCTACATATATATATATATGTGTGTGTGTGTGCTAATGATTAAAGTAGGAGCCTTTTTTTGTTATTTGTCACTTTAAATTTTGTTTTGTATTATCACAGTGGGTCATGGTAAAGAGGCGCACCAGGTGTATTAAATGGCAGCCAAAGGTGATGTGGGGCATTTAATTAGCTTGGGTACGGGAGAGGTACACCATTTTTACCTGTACCGCTTTCACCTTTTTGTTATAGACACCTTTTTTTCTAATTCGAAATGTCTAATGTAATCATCGCAAAATAGAAAATGAACAGAACGTCACCCAACTTCAACAGCGACTTTTGAATGATTTTGAAGCGCGTTAGAAAACAGATCTCTCCCCTCATCCAGCTGAGTGAGTAAATGCCATAGTCACTACAATTACCTCTTAAAAACATTAACGTTATGTCCCAGTATAGTGTGAGAGCTGCTCATCAGCAATAAAGCCAAAAGTTGCGCGCTCTGTGTGTGTGTGTCCCAACGGCGTAAATACTGCCGGTGCAGGCGGTGCAATGCACCAGGGCCCCGGTGCAGCAGGGGGTCCACTCTTGGGCCCATGTGATGCCAGTAGGCCTGCTCATCTGTCTCCTGGCAGCACAGCTCTTAGGTAGCCTCCTTCAGTGATGTTTTCACAGCATTGCTTTGTATCTTACCATATCTGTCACTGCTGCGACTGCTGAGCGCTCTTTCTCTTAGCTCAAACTCATCAAAACATATTTGAGGAGCAGCATGGGACAGGAAAGACTTAGTGGGTTGGCAATGCTCTCAACAGAGAACAACAGAGCCAGGAATTTGGACTTGAGCGATGTTGTCAGCAACTTTGCTGAGCGGAAGGCCTGCAGGATTAACTTTAAACGGGTGAGTACAGTTTAGTGTTTATTACGCATTGGGATCAGTGATTTGCTAACTTAATTATCACGTCTGGAATGTAAGAAAATGCTGCTTGTATTCTTTGTGCATGAAAACATTTGGCAGCTGTGCCATTGATGATGAATAATGAGTGTGCTCAGATGCAGTGTTTTCATCCATTCATACTGAGGCAGTGACAGAAGAAACGGCCCTTGCACTGAGACATGCAGCCGCGGCAGATAACACTATCCAGGGTCCTGAACTGTACATCTGACCATAATATGATATTGCCTTTTATACTCCTGGCGTGGGGTGATGCGCGCCCGCTGTGCGTTTGATTGTGTTCATGAGTTGTGAGTGTGTGCGCCATGCTTAACATACAAGGGGCACTTGCTCCCTCAATGCATGCAACATGCATCTTAGACCACGGATTTTCTTCCCACAGTGCCTTAAAAAATTGCACGTCTCACTCGCAAAGTGCTTGCAAGGGGAGCAAGTTACACTTGCTGCGTCGTTGTTCGCAGGGAATTCATAGAATCTTTTTGACATGTCAAAGATCCTCCCTATGTGCTTATGGGCTGTCTGAAACCTCGACATTTTGCAAGACGGACTTGTGTGGCACGGACTATTTTGCAAGTATTTTGGACGCAGACAGGCCATAGGAGCCCGTACAGCCGGTTGTGACCGAGGCTTAAAATCATATCATGGTTGTCAGGCTGTTCTGTTCTTTTTGTTGTTGTTTTGCCCGTGTTTGGATACACCTATTAGTGTGTGCGTCTGTGTGCACGTTTTATGTTTCAGTCACCTTCGGGGATAGTGGGGGTCGTCAATCTCAGGATTTTGGGGGTCGCAGGCTGAAAAGTTTGAGAACCCCTGCTCTAGAAGAGCAAAACCATCATTAATAACACTGATAATAGATGGACCACTGACTGCATGAGTTTAAAACCTGTTAAGCTCTAAGCTATTTTTCAGGTCACTGCTCGAAAATTACACAACCATAATAAAAACAGTTTGTCTCTGCAACCACAAGGTCTATTTCAATAATTCTTGTGTCATAATAAAAGGAACACTTGTAAGATTTGTTCAGATGTGTAAATACCAGTGTATGTTACTGGTTAAGAGCAAATGAAGATGGCACACACACAAATGAAAAATTTTCAGGTTTGCCGAAAAGAAAAAAGAAAAAAAAAGCACTTTCAGGATAATTATCTCTTTGGAATGATCCAGCTGCAGCTCTAAACCTCTACCAAATCATAGCACAATATGTGAACATTCTCTCTGCAAAGGTTGACTCTGATAAAGTGAAGCAGAACAAAATTACAAAGTTTTTAGTACAGACAGTTCATGCGAGGTGACATTTTGGCACACTTTAGCACATTTTTGCACACTTGTGACCATCTGAATTTTCTTATGTACAAACTATATATTTCACTTGCATATGTTCAATACATCCAAATACAGCAGTTTTTTAGTTTTTTGAAAATTCAACCAGACCGCTATGTGTGACCGTCCTGTGCGTAATGCTGATCAGACTGCTATGAAGCTCCTGTGGTGACGCAAGGCTGTATCTCTGTATTGGATTGGTCGATTCCAGTGATTGACACCTCCTTCAAATCGTTAGAGCCAATAGAATGTAGCGATAGCCATTAAAATGAGATTGACAGCACTTGTAGCCAATCAGAATCAGCAGAACGTCATCTTGTTGAGGAGCTGCTTGCTGAGCGAGTGGTCACTACTTCGCTCCGTTCGGCTAACGAAGCCTCCAAGAGACGCCCGGAATGATTTCAGTGTAATACAGGAAGTAGTACTAACGTATTTACCGATAAAATAAACTTTTCATGGCAAAACAGCTAAAGTAAGTGACATTTTACAACTACAGTTTGATGAAGCGATTTCGGTTTTTGCTGTTCTTTGGGTTATTTCTCGCTGATGTTTTGATTTTAAGAGAGCTTTGATGGACATGTTTGGAATCTGTGGACTGTCTGCTTTCGTTTGAGGGGTTGTTTGTGCGCTTTGCATAAAAGTGCCAAAGCGCTAGAGCCAGAAATGTGGCGAGTGGGTTGACTTGGTGGTGCTATATCAATTTCCATATTTGATAAGTTGGTGTTTGAGTTATGTTTGGAGCATGTAAAAATGGCTGATATATTCTTGTAGTCCAGGTTCTGCTGTTTAATTTGATGTATAACATCACTATATTCTTTCATGATGAGTGCATTGTTTCACACAATTTCTTTGTGTGAAGCCCAAGAGGCCCCCAGTTGGAGGCCTCTCGGGCTTAAAGGGTTAAAATAGTCAAGATAGGGTCCCACTGACAACAGAGGATCTTACAGTCATGGTTCATGTCTAAAATCTTAAAAGCTCATTTGAAATGAGTTGAAAAATGTGGTACATATCTACTTACTTTGGATAAATGGCAGTCATCTTGGCAGCTGCAAAACCCGGCTTACAGGCACCCTCACTGATATTACCATACTTGTACACCAGCTCCAAAGGCCTGTAGCCATGGAAAAAGAAATCAAACAAGGATTAAAAATGCACCCACAGATTACATATACAGGTTATAGTACACAATCATTAATGATAGGGACAATTTAACAGTACTAACCCATGAACTTAATGCCATTGCTGACACTATACCTGAAAAGCTTTGAGTGCCCAACCGCTAGAGGCATAAACTTGGAGTGGGAAATAAAAATTATAGGAATAACCAACTAAATACTCACAGAGTAGCATCCAGCTTCAAAAGGAACCCTTGCTTGTCATACACTAGAAAAACGAAAAAGGAGGCAAATATGATGACAATAAATACTATGGATTACAATTTAGAAACTGCTTTGCCACATTTTTAAACTCATTCCAGTGTCCAAACATAATTCTGTTCATATTAAGGTATTCTACATGTTTATTGTCAGGGCAAGAAGGGCAGTATGCAGGTGTAGACTGGTCATCAAGAAATTTGCCAATATTCCTGTTGGGCTGGTTATAGTTTCCCTCTCATTAGTCCATATGCCCATGTACAGATGTTCAATAGGTCATCTGCTGAGATGTGTGATAGCAGGTCGCAGTCGCCATCATCAACCAAAGAACTAAACACCTGTTAAATATATCCAGCATTCTTTGACGAAACATGAACAGAAAGAGAAAGCTGCAGCCAGCCATGCCAACAAGGTAACAAACAACCAAAAACAGGCTTTGCTGGCTGATGCTGCAAACTGTGCTAAATCATAACGGATGTCTTTAGACTGCAAGTAATGACAAGGCCGACAGCGATGCAACAGAAACATCAGAGAGGTGTGAGCAGGCAGCAGTGGTTTGAACATTCTGACATGCACTGTGCTGTAAATGAACTAACTCGATGTTTTTGTTAATCTTTGAGTTTTAACGCTGGAGTCCCGCTGCATGTGTGAATGTGACAAGGGTTTACCTGTCAGATTCAGTGCACAAATGTTTAAAAGAAAGTTTGTTACATTTCTCTAAATTGTTTTTTTGAATGGTTGTCAAATTCAACTGTAAATGGGTAAAAATAAACATGTACACATTAGACATGTAGTCTAACGTGTACATGCAAGGACGCGCTCGGGCTACGAGCTGGAGTGAGCGTGACATGACGCGACGCACAGGCCGCATTTGGCTACAAAGACCAGTTTCTGTGTTTAGGCTAGCGGCGACGGCTCCGTTTCCGCGGCGGCGGGGATATTCGGAGATCCAGTTTGACATCCCGATTCCAGCACAGCGAACGAATTGTCGGCTATTCGGGCTCAGCCCTATTAGATACCATCACTTATTATTTAAATCCTCTGAGTCTGCACATAACTTACTTTGGCACCAATACCAATAGGAATGAAACACAATAACCAGGTCTTGTCTTAAAATCCCTCGACTGCATGCAGTTTTTAAAATTTGCACTGTGTTTTCCATACAGCCTCTGTAGTGTTGTGACTTTAAGTTTATGGTCAATCTGCGTTATATATTGTTTCAGCACTGATATCATGATGTCCTCATGTTCAGTAGTCTCATTGCAGGAAGTGTGATGTAAAGTAAGGCAAATTGTCTCAAACATATTGTGCTTTTTTTTTTTCTTTTTTAAATAACAGTCTGGTACGAAAAGGAAACCGTTTTAAAGGTTCTTGATCACATTGAGCTTTTTGTTTTTGTTTTTAACCTCATGCACAAGACAGATTTCATTGACATGCAGGTGTGACCTGTTCAGCAAAATGAACAAGTAACAGGAGAGAATGCTATACTTACTAAGCCATTTTTGATATCCTGAGGTCTGAAGTCAAGGTAAACAGTACAAGATCCACTTTGCAGCTGGCTATAGTAAATGCACCATTATTGGCAGCACTCATATTTCCAGATGATTGAGTCAGTGAGGAAACACAGGCTCACTCCATTTCTGATTTACACAGTCAGAGTGAAGCTGGGAGAACATACGGTCTGACTGTCATTGCTAAACCCACAGATCATTAGCAGATTCATTTAAACTATGTATACTCATGTATACTGGGGCTTACCTGAGTCCAAGGTAACATTTCTTTTTCACAAAATGTTCCCACCTCCAAACCGCAACTTGTGCCCAGGTGCACTTACTGGTTCTTACCTGCACAAGTATTGGGAATACAACTTTGTGAGGATGTAGGGGTGGGCAGGGCCACTGTCAAATTTAATTTGTGTGTTCGTAATTTGTGTTAAATGTTGTTTCTATTGTACTGCACGTGTTTGATGGATCTGAAGTTAAGCAACAATAAAAAAAGCTGACTACTAATAAAGAAGAAATTAAGTGAAAGAAGAAAACATAAAGCAGATGGGCCACCACCAGTTGATGCTGCGTCTGGGGCAACAGTGCATGATTTTTGGGTGAGGAGCTGAAGTCAGTTTCTGGACGGCTGATGGAAAACCTGACTGTAAAGACAACACGGCTGGAGGGAAGATACGCAATGCTTGTTGTTTCTGGATGCTGCAGGAGTTTAAATTTCCTGGTGGACTATCTACCAGAGCAGAGTCAACCTACCACCACCAACTTGACTCTCTGGCTCTCATTCTGCATCAGTCAAGCGAAACTGTATATTCCCCACTAATTGCTTTCTTAATGTAAATTCATTTAACTGCACATAGCTGCACAGACCTAGAAAAAGAGGTACCAATGGCTTATGCTGTTGAAGTTTTAGACAGTTTCAGAAACATTCCTTCAAAACTGAGTAGTGGTGGATAAAAAGGTGCTAGGTGGCTCACACAAGTACATCCCTTTAGAGGCTGTTGTGTTGCTCTACATTATACAAGATGTTCTATTTTTCTGGTCACAGAATGTACTTAATAAGGATTAAAATACTTCTACTCTTTTACTGTTACAATCTACACACACAGTACAAGCTGTTACAAGGTTGCTTTGGTGTACAGGGTTGCATTACTCTACAGCTGAATTGTCTGGCACTATTTCTTTTCTGGCTGCCAAACATTTACAGTGTCAGGAAAAGCTTAAGTGCAATAAAAAACAAGCATTTGCTTGGCCCTCCTTAACCGACCATTTTCTAATCAAGTCTGAACACAGGTTGCAGAGGCTCGGTTATTCACCAGCCTCAACTCCACCAACCCCTTTATGAACTTTGAGTAAAGCCCTCATCCATAGCAAGCAGTGCACAAACATCCACTCCAACCATCTAGCTAATTGCTATCAAATGCTGATGTGCCTAAGGTAAAAAAGTATTTTTCCCTGCTTAAATAAGTGTGTTCTCAGAGAACATCCAGTTAACAGCACCGAAAGAAAAACAAAGGCTCCCTTCAAGAGGACTAACAATACCACGAATAAAGTCTGAATAAGTTGTCGGAGCTGAATCTAGTTGGATTTTAGTGTGCATGATGGGTTAGAATAAAAAAGCTCCAGCACTGCGGTGACTGTGAACCATTTTGAGGTGATAACACTTTACTTTGGCTAATGGGTTTGGAGTTAGAACCTCTTACTAAGACACGATCTCCCCTGAAAACATGATATGGGAAAATTCAGAAGACCTTTAAAATATTGTCAAAATGCTATTTTCACCAAGCATTTATAAATTTTCTGCAACTTTATCTTCATAGATAATCCATAAAATTGGAACATTATTGATTTCATTTCACCAAAGGGCCGGGCGAAAATGGGAGCTCTTAGACTTGTGGACCAGACACAGGTAGATGGCATCCTGCACAGCTTTATGTCCATCCCACGCTGTGATGAAGATGAGAACCTTGTGTTAGCTCTCCACTCCAATCACTCTGTCTCCCTCTAACAGACACTCACATCAACTCTCACTCGCTCCTAGTGTTTCACATGGCACAAATACAAACAAATAAATAAACAAACAAATAATAAAACTTGGAACATATTTGCAAGTTGATCTTAGTTTAGCAGCACTGTCTCCAACAATGGCCTGCAGCTCTCTGAATGCTCTGTGCTTTGTGTGAGGCAATATGACATAAAAATGAGGAGTCATAAGGAAAACAGAAACAAACACTGACTTTGGAAAAAACATAATTTCAAACAAAAACTGCTGGAATTAAATAAAGGTAACCTACAATCCACTGAATGACCAATTTAAAAACATAATTTTACAACTTAATCGTTACATAATAAATCTGGTCGATGCTCATTCAAGTGATTATTTCATGATGAAATGTGACTATAATTTTTCCATATACATGATTTAACTCTACATATTGTAAAATGCATTGGCTTCAACAGTGGCCTAATTCTAAGTAGCAGAAGAATAAATGGCAGAATGGTTTATGAAACTCTAACCCTAAAACAAACAAAAAAAGCTTTCCATCCAATTATAAAGTGTTACAAAAATGTAAGCTGAAAAGAAATAAAACAAGGTGCAGAACATAGTTTCAATGGGTGCCAAGAAAATGTTTAGATCAAAGTCAATTCTCTGTCATTATCAGTTCCGCAAACTCTCCTAAATGATTCTTAACTGGACAATCTATGAAACGTGAAATATCTAAGAATTTAACAACTTCACTTGAGATCAGCAAGGATGACAGATGTCAAATGCTTTCCTACTTTAAAGCAGTCGACAGGCAGGACAGAGCAGCATGTGGGCAGACGAAAACCACTAGTGATCCCTCCTGTATTTAAACAGACTGGCTCCCCCCTCTGGTAAAAGCTTACATGGCTTTCTAGGAGAAGGTCTTTGTGATGTGACTGTTCAAGCGAAAGACTAAGTCTCGTCTCCACAGTCCTTTGTTAAAGGTGTTGATGTCTACACAGGCAGATGGCAATAAAATGCATGGAACAATAACTACAAAAACCATTGTAGTAAGCACAGCTACAAAATAATGTAGAAACCTAACCTGTGTTGGGCTCAAAAAAACAAACAAAACAAAACAACTGAAATACACTACTCACAATAAGTTAGGGATATTGTTATTTACATGAGTGCTTTTCCTATTTGCTCTGAATTTTAATGAAATAAGTAAAAGTTCCCTTTGATATTACTAATAATGAATGAGAAGAAACACCATTTTCATTAGTTTAATATTTATTACCCCCCAAATTTAAACAATAACAAGGATAGCCCCAAATAACAAAAGCTGACAATGTCAGGAGCGGGTGTTTCCACCATTTGCAGAAATGACAGCTTGACAACGACGTCTCATGCTCCTCACTAGCCTCATGATGTTGTTCTGAGACAATGCGTTCCACTCTTCCACAAGTGCTACACGCAGTTCTGCCAGGTCACGTGGGGGTGGAGTACGGTCATCCAGTCTCTGCTTCAGCTGGTCCCAGACGTGCTCTATGGGGTTCAGGTCAGGGGACATTGCTGGCCATACCATATGAGGCACTCCGACTTCTTGAAGTCAAGTTATGACAATTCTGGCACGATGTGGTGGAGCATTGTCATCCATGAACAGAAAGTTGGGGGTGTGCTGGCGGAATTGGGGGATGATGATGGGTTCTATGATGTCTCTGAGGTAGGAACGTGCAGTGACTGGGGATACCTGCCCAGACTGTTGCACCTCCTCCACCAAGCGAACCCTGGGGACCATGTTAACCTCGGCATATCGCTCAACTCGCCTTCTCCAGCAACGCTGACGACCATCATTTCTGTGCAAGGTAACTCGACACTCATCAGTGAACAGGACGGTGGACCACTGCTGCATTGTCCAGGTCACATGGTCTTGTGCCCACTACAAACATTCACGGCGATGTCTTGGTGTCAGTGGAGTCACCTGCAACGGTCGTCTGGCATTCCCAGCCAAAGCGGTGTTGTAGGAGCCTAAATCTATTTCTTTGATTTTGGATTTGGTTCTTATTTTACCACGATTATTTCTATTTGGTTTAGATTTTTTGTTCAAGAGTAACTTTGAT